TTAACAATGTCCAAGATCTAAAAAGTGTATCGTAAAATTTAGCTTAAAACTGGATGAAAAGTCAATTTATGACAACCCCAACGCATGCACAATGGGGGTATAACGGTATTGACAGGAGACCGGTGGACACACCATTACAGGAATAAAATTACAGATTTCTCTATAATAATGTAGGTACACAACTCAACAAAATATATAACCTAGGTCTAATGTTTACATACAGATGTTACATATAGCTTTAAATGGGTATGTTGCTGCGTTGATGGAAGTTTTTTGTTGTTGTTATGAATATAGGTGTGCCTTGAGATTTTGGCTTGCCCTTTGGTGCACCTTGGGTACAAAAAGTTTGAGAACCACGGCTCTAGGAACGTTGAATATCTGTGACCAGTTTTGCAGCAACCAATCCAGTAATGTCAATTTATGTCACTGGGGACCACGAATGTCTCTACAACGTTTCACATCAATTGAACCAGTAGCTGAGGTATTTTAGTCTGGACTAACAGACCAAATAAGAATATACGACAGATGAAATTGGTGTAAAAGTGAGTGCAAAAGAGTGCTCACCCTCTTCTTATAGTAAATCCTCCATTTGTGATATTCCTTGATCACCACCTCAATCCTTCGCTTCCAGTAGCTGCCCTCTAATACAATCGCCTGTTAAAATACCAAGCAGTTAACTGTCTGTACAGAGTGAATCATACAAACGTTAAATCTCATCAGTGTACAATAAAAAAAACAAATACACATTAATGTTTTCCCCCGAATTTGGAACCATGTGTAGATTAGAAAAGACCCCAACAGTCTGACTCTATTAAAAATACATCGCCTCCTGTGACAGAAATCACTTACTTCAGGCTTTCGGTGTGAATCGGCCTCCGAGCCCTCCAGCGGTGAGACAAACCCACACACTGGGTTCTTCCTCTTTTCCACATCTAAATACAGCAGATACAGAGCAACATAATCAACAGTTTTCCAGCTGTTCGAAGAGAAAACATTTATTTTCTTACCATGGTGTCTTATTGAACGCAGCTTGTGGAATACTGTTCAATTCTTTATTTATGTTTAGTTGTTCTTCTCTTTTGATTCCTTGTCTAACATATTGTGAGGCGTTTGGCAGTAATGTCCTGCTTCATTATTAATGGAGGGACATTAAAGAATATGCATAGAGCAGAGAGAAGAGGTGGAGAGAGGTGGACTTACACTGAATGAACCAAGCTCTCCAGATGGCGTTGTTCAGACGGATCTTATCCCTCCACAGCAACCGCAGACCCTTGAAAGACTTCCACTTGGGAGAGACTATCTTACCACTGCAAAAAAACCAAACCAACCCAAAACCAAAAGGCACAGTTTTGTCAAATTTGTGTATTTTTTGTTCCTTCCATTTAAATAAAAATGCGACCAACATTAAAATAAGATTAAATGAGATACTCTTTAGATGAAATTGGACGGAGTGGAAAAAGAATCAGTAACCTCACCCCTGTGGGAAAAGTGTCCTGATTTTGACTAATAGTGCCCAATCAGCTTATTCACCAGTGAACCAGCGACAGGCTGTTTGCACTTTTTTCCCAGTGTCCCTCAGCCTGCTGAGTGCTGAACAGAGGCCCCCTAATGTGAGGTGCTCGGGGAGTTGCTAGGAACCCAGGAGGGGTGTTTCATTTTCAACATACTTTTAATGGAGTGACATCGGTGCACTTCACACACTCCAAACCAGCAGACAGCATGTTACCGAAAAAAACAACCTTTTAGGAGATAACAATTAACAGCAGTCTGGTTAATGACAAATACTGTGCAGCAGAGGAGCAGGTTGCTCAAATACACTCTACCTGCTGAACATGATACTGTATATACATTACATATATCACTTAGATGTGAAAAAAAGCATACAGTTTATGTTTTCTGTTTAAGTTCTTTATGTCAATGGCCCTGGCTCAGGGCTTATTGTGCAACTTTCAACAAACTACATAAATAATACAAAATTGACACAGTGACTGGTAGCAGAAATGTGGTCTTTGGGCCAAAGGTTGATGGCAACTCTTATAAACAAGTTGTTAAAGCAGGATTTAAAGACGTCCCTGCAAGAACATGTGCTTTCTTTTCATGGTTTGCTCCGTCACTCAGAAAGAAAAACAGATTCAAAAACAGGGAATAAAATGAAAACACTGATTTTGATATCTCAGTTTAAAACCCCTGTGTGTAATAACTGATGATAATAAACACTAAAATAAGAGTGGGGTTAAGTCAAAGAGGCTTGCTAACTTAAAAAAAAAAAACCCATATAGGCCAGAGGCATCACTTGAGGATCTTCTCTCCTTTCCCTCAGTTACACTGTAATAATTGCACCGCTGCCAACCAGAATCAAAGTCCAGTTTTCAGTGAAGATTTTCCAAGCTGTTGCACAAGAGACTGCAAAATCCCTCTTCCAACACATCCAAACACATTACAACCCAACCCTAGTTTTAAAAACACACATCTTTTATGTGGAGCTCCTCCTGTACACTGTGTAGTTTGTGGCTTATAAAAACATGTAAATCATAAACTACACCAAAAAATGGCCTACAGGTTCTTTTTTCTCTTTATTCTCTTTATTCATTTCACTTTTTAATATGTGGGGCACCATTTTATCTGAAATCTTCAATATGAAAATCACTCTGGTTTATAAGATCTAGATGTATTATGATGCATGCGCGCTTCTAATAACTTTTATGCACTTCCATTCCTGCAGATAAAAAGAACTGGAAATAAAATGGTGCTTCTAGACTCATCTGTAGGTGAGTAGGTGAAGTCTGCTCATTTGACCCACCTGTAGGCCAGGGACATGCAGTCAAACAGGCGGGTCAGAGTCGGGTCGATGCTCAGGCTCCCGGAGCTGAGCGGGCCGTACCGGTACGTCTGGCACCACGTCCTGTTCACCGTGTCAAAGTCATATCTGAGAGAGCCGCCGCTTCTCCTCCTGCGCGGCGCGGAGTCGCTGTGGGGCGACGACACCATGAAGTGTCCGCTGTGGATGACCTGGCTGCGGGGGATCGAGCCGGCGGACGCTCCGGTACCGGCCGCCCGCGCAGGTTGCCCCTCCGCCTCCGAGTCCGAGTCCGAGGAGTCCTGGAGCTGGCTCTGTCCGGCTGAACAAACTCTCCCTTTGCCCGCCATGGTGCGCTTTAATTCAGGGTCGGCTGTCCGTCAAACTGTGAACTTTCTCCTCAGCTGACTCCCCCGCCTCCTCCTCCTCCTCCTCCTCCTCCCTTGTTTTCTTCAGATAGTCCAATATTTCCTCCAACAAGTGCCGCTTGCTAACAGCAGTGAGGGCCCTCATCTGTCAGCTGAGAGACAACTGTGTCTGTCCACAGCTCTGACAGTGTGTGTGCACTGTTGTGTAAGAGCTACTATCATTATGTCAACTTCCTCCGGAGGTAAAGTCCTTCTAGCACCAATCACTGACAACTAATTATTAATAGGACAACTCTAGTAGGAAATGTTACAACAATTATGAAGATGGTTAGTTTTGCTGCTGATGGGATTTGTTGTTTAAAGTCCCTCTTCACTCAGAAATGTGTTTTTCTTCTTTCACCCAGGGGGGTTTCCAGACTTTTTTAACTGGGGTGACACAAGTGGGGCACTGGCATTACGCAGGGGTGGCATCAAGTATGTGTCTCAGATTTCACATACAGATTGCAGAGTTCATTCAAATACACAAGGTGAAAATAACATATTTATACCACATGCAAAGTAGGGCATGTTTTTTTGCCCTAAACTGCATGGTGGGCATGTCTGTAAAGGGGAGACTCACTCGTGGGTACCCAAAGAACCCATTTCATTCAGATATCTTGAGGTCAGAGGTCAAGGGATCCCTTACAAAATGATAATGCCAGCTTTTCCATCGCCCAAACTTTGGAGCGTTTTTTTAGCCCCCTTCCCGACATGCTACATGACATGATGTATAAGTTAAGTTTTTTTTTATTAAATACCTGTGTATTCTGTAATATAATGTAATGCACTTTCATTATACCACCCTCTGTTGTAAAATTAAAATAAATGATATATACGTATATATATTATATAAAAGAGGGATCACATCCCCTTTTTAGCGTATACTAGCTGTTACCATGAGGCAGACGGTATACGGTACCATCCCTCTGGACCAACAGGGCTCAAAGATCATTGTGCCTACCAGTATTTCACCGCTGAACAAACTATGAAACTAAATAACTTGGTGGTGAAAAAGAATAAAGTTGAGGTGTTTCGTCTACTTTGATACAGCTATAGTGTCATTTAAAATAGTTCAATATATGTATTAGTTTGCTGATGGGCAGTTGTTAATAAGGACTTCTCTGGGCTAATTACAGGTTTTTCAAACAAACCTCAGTCTTGTTTTTAGTTGATTTAAACAGCATGGTTTTGCAGAATGTAACTCACTCTAACCAGTGCAAGTTTCATTTTGATATCTGACCCCCCTTTCCCCAGTTGACTGCCTTTTGCTATTACATTTTGCATGACCTCATTACTTTGATTTTGTGTATACATCACTGCGTGATAGTATTTTCAATATATTGCATTTGTGTATTTGCATGGTGCCACACATATTTGATTGAATCTGGAGATGTGCACTATATCTTGCTTGAGATGTTGCACTCGTACTAAATATAATTTAAAAACATTTTAGTGTTGCAAGTCCTTATGAAACACAGTATCTACTGGGACTCAGAACATGGGCATTAAAGCTGTGTGTGTGTGTGTGTGTGATTGCTTGTAAAGACTATTTTCCAAGGTCACAGAAGCTCTGACAGTAAAACATGCAACTTATCCTTTTCTTTATACTTTGACTCTTAAGTATTTTAAGATCTGAAGACCCATATCCAATCCTTAATCATATACACATGTTCAAACTCTAGCTTACACTTGCTTTTCTTAAGGTCTGACATACATAAGTTCAAAAGTGTTTTTATCAGTAACAACTGGTGGTCCGATTCTGACTTGGCATTAAAAAACAACCATAACATCATCCATTAATATTAAACTGTTTTATTGGACACTGATCTTCTATTCACTGAAGACATGCTGATGTGTGCCATTCAAATTTAGACTACACACATTATAGTCTGTCAGTCACATTAGTATTAGTGAACATGAACTCCCTTATCAAAAGCTAAGCAGGATTGTCAAGTTATAAAACCAGAAGCAATAACTTAACTTAAGGAGCTTTATGTTTTGCCTTTACATCTTGACACATTGTCCCTTTATTGGCTTTAGGACAGTTGAACATTCACAGATACTAATTGGACCACATTAAACCACTGCAGTTGAGACTAAAAATTTAAATATATATCTTATAATGATGGTTTCTGCACATTGTCTGACCTGCATTGTTCATGGCCTTCATTATATTTCATTTAAACTACCTCCTTTAACTTACAGAAAAATATAGTCACATTTTAAACAAAGGGAACACATTTGCAACATTTCACGTTGTATTAATGTGACAACCGCTGGCAACATGGCTGACAGACACCAATGGCAGTATTCATCAGTTGCTTTAGAGTGCCAAAGCTATCAATCATTCAATAAATCAGTGCCGCCTTTAGTCTGATCATGGTCTCGTCATACCTCCAACTTTGTTGTTGAGATGTGTGTTGAACAAAAGTGAAATTGAGCTTATAGCTAACATTAGTTACATTTGACAAAGCCTACGAGGTCTTCCAGGAACTTAATATACTCTTGATGCTCGATGGCCGTGCTCAGCTCCATCATTTCATCGGCAAAGGTGTTGTCCACCCCCCGGTCGGCCAGGAAGTCCATCAGGTGGTCATACAGGGCCTGGAGAACACCACAACATTGAAGTTGTTTCCAGTTAAAATGATTCATGTTCACAGGTATCACTGGCTTCAATAACTGTGTTGTGTATGAAGTTCTGATTATCTTCCGTTTACTCAAATCTTACCCAGTCCAGAGAGTCTGTGTTGAGTGTATAGCTGGTCTCCTTCCAATCTGAGTCTCCCTCAGGCTGGAAACTGACCTCACGAATGGCAAAGATGTCGCTCTCCTCTTCTCCTTCACCGTGGCTCATCTATGAAAAGCAAATCACCGAGTTACCAAACTGCTGCCAATAGTACACATCTGATATGTTCTTCTCTGTATAAGTCAGTGCAGTCTATGCTTACCTCGTCTTCAGGAAAATGGCAGTCAAACACCAGGGAATGTTTTGAAGCCTGTTTTGTCACTTCAACAACAAAGTTCGGTGATGACACAATTTCTGGCTGTAGAGAAACAACAGGATTATAATCTTTTTAATGTTCATTTTTTTAATGTTAACAGTCAATTTCTATTTCAAACACAATTCTGCTAGCCAGTGCAGGTACAACTGCTTACACACACGTCAGGTTTGTTCTAACTCACCTCTTCTTCTGCTGACTTCTGCTGTCCTTGTTCTGCCTCTTCCTCAAAGTTAGGAGGAATGCTGTTGTTGACATTGAATGTGACAGTGACTCTGAAAAAAGAAGAAGACAGATCCAGAGCTCATTAGTGTGCCCAACAGTCAACAAGGATTGGATAACAACCATCAGTGCCAGCCTTACTTCTCTCCAGCAACACTTCTTGTGAGTTTTGCCTCTGTGCCGTTCATCTCCAGTTCCCATCCTCCAGACATCTTGGGAAGGCTTTTATTTTTCTGGATCTTCCTCTCCTCTTTGATTTCATCAGACAGGAATTCACCAAATGCTTTGTCACCTGTTTAAAAAAGTACAACAGGGTGTATTATGTAATTATGACAGAACGTGTGTAGTGGAAATTCAAACTTTCTTGTGCTGCAGAAACTGCAATGCAAGTTTCCTTAACTCTGCTTTGGACTGTTTCATGGACTTTAACTGCACGCAGAAAGCTTTTCAAGGCAACCTTCCCCCTAAAACCTCCAGCTGGCACGCCTACGTCAAGGCTGCATTCCCAGGCTTCTATACAGTGCTCTTGGTTAGATAAATTTATACCAAGAATGGGGTGCAAGTAACCCTTGTTTTCATCAAGCAGCTGACCATTTTCTCAATAAATCTATTAGTTTTTTTGTCCAGAAAATGGCAGAAAATGATATATTTCTCCGTAAGCCCAAGGTGGAATTCTCAACCCAAAGATATTCAATTTACTGTCATAGAGGACTAAAGAAACCAGAAAATATTTACATTTGAGAAGCTGAAATATACTTTTTTCTTAAGAAATAACTGAAAAAAACTGCTGGCATTTTATGTAATAGTTGACAGCTAGTTGACTAATCTTTGCAGCTCTACGTAAGAGCTTCCACTCTTATATTAGCTTATGCCCTGCCAGTGTTTTATCATAGGTCACTACCACACCAGTACATACAATACAATGCTGCCATGCTTTTGTTTTATTGATCCATTTTTGGGCAATTGAAATAAATGAACTTAACTGTTATCAAAATAATATGCACAACACAGATGATTAACTTGGTCTGTTCCCCTTTAAAGACTGTTACTGTGTAATTAAGTTACATCAGTTAATAAATATAAGCATCATTGGCTATTGAAGGTGCTTCACATCACTTCTTATCAGTCTAACCTGGACACTTAACATGTCATTACACATGTCAACACATACCACACAAAATCAGAACTTCTTTGAACCACTGTTCTGTTTTTATTGTAGTTTCTATCATCTCTCTCTTTGATTTGCTCTGGTGACAGCTGAACGTGTTTCAAGGTGAGTGCTAACTAATGCTAGCTGCCTCCAGTGAGAGGATGAACACGTTATTTTCTATGTCGGAACTGTGAGTGCTGAATTCAGTTCCGACAGCAAAAGACTCAAATTATGTTGTTATGTTGTGTTCTGTTGTGTTTAGAGGTTTAAATGTGTTGAGAAATAAAGTCCCATTGACGTGAGGTCCTCTCTGTACAGCGTGTGGCTCTGTCGCCATGCAATACCGGCTGATACGAGGGAAGCTAGCTAGCTCATTTAAAAACTTAAGACATCAAATGTCAACTTACCTTCCGTGTGAAGTCCTCCACATCCACACGATACCGAGGGGTTCAACACTTTCGAACTAAACAGTTTTGGCCTGTATCCTGACGAGGCTCCGTTGTTATTCAGCATCCAGAGGGACCGGGTGAAGGGCCGGGTTGTTGCCGAACTAGGAGAGCGCAGTGTCGGGCAGCTGAGCGGCAGAGCTCGGGCTGTGGACGTGGTGGCTGAAGAAACGCGAACAGCGGCTCCCACCGCACGGACAACGGACTTGAGCATGACTGTGTAGAAATATTAAGACGTGTACGGACAGAATAAGTTAGTGTGACCGGCTAGCTCCCCGTTACTGCTGCTCCTCCAAGATTACAGAAGAAAACACGTGTGGAAGGACACATTGACCTCTCACAACTATGACCTCCGCACCGGAAATAATACTTTAAAAGCGAAAAAAAGAAACTAAATAACTGTCGGTATCTAAACAAATCCTAAACATAGCATATAGTAATATAGTTTATGGCATAACCTAATCAAATTAAGTAATATTTATGTTTTAAAAGATATAAGTAATAATATGGTCACAACCTATGCGACAGCGCCCCCTGTGGCTCAATAAAGAGGAAGGTTATACAGTATGTATCTCTGTATTATTGACGATTTTGGTCAGATATAAAGAACTGGATATCACTTAAGATACATTACATTTCGACTTTTGGCCTATTTTCTTTAATATGGATTATTAAAATTCACCTATTTTCGACATTAATATGATCATTCTTATTGTTAATATCATATCCACTGTAGCAAATGGAGGAAGAGCAAGCCCTCCTTCTGGTGTTTTTTAAAATAACTTAAAATATTTGTTCTTGTCTCTAACAAGACTGTATTCCAGTGAAATAGCACTAAAGGTTTGTGGGGACATTTTATGCTTTTTTTGCATGCCCAGAGATGAAGATTTACTGTCTATTTTTTATGTTTCTATATGTTTTTATTTCTATGATTCCCCCACTGTTTCATGTTTATTTCATATATGTATTCTCCACAAGTTCCTGTATGTTTAACTAAATCTGTCTCTTTCTCATCATTCCATGTAAAGTATGTTTTAATGTAATGAGGTGAATCAGTTGCCTCATTACGACATGAAGCCCTGCTGCCAGAAGATGGAGCTGTTTCCAAGAACCCCACTTTCATGTGTTCTTTCTCAAACAATCATTTCTTTAGTCATTTAAAAAAAAAAAATGTAATTAGAATCACTGGATGGTTGGCCAGCAGGTTCATGCATTTCTGCATCTTTCAGGTTTTGTTTCAGTTCTCCTCTGAGAGCACTGAGCATCACCTGGGTCACATTACTTTGAGGCAGAGGTCCTCAGACAGTGCAGTGGAGTGTGGATGACCTCAGGAAAAATGAAGGAATGAATATGGTTTTTGTTGGGAAAATAAACAAACAAGAGTTTGGTGATGCTATTGTGCTGACCTTTAATTCATTAAAATTCAACCTTTTTATTTTAGTAATTTTGGTTCCCCTGTCATTGTTAATTGCTTTGCTGCTCATTGATTGCTAAAGACTGTGGTGTGGGGGAAATTTTCTTTAGCTTCTGAAGGGGGACATGCCAGAAAAATAACCACTGTTGGTTGAATTCATCAATACACTGCCTGTTAATCTGATCTTGCATAGTTTGGAGATGTGTCATGTAACTAAAGATGGCTAAATAATGGCTGTATTGAGGAGTGACTGATGCTTTCCCTGTACCTCTGAATCTTTACTCTCAACAAGCAGAGTTGCTCTCTGAGACAGTGACTGGATTTTTATTAGAAATTATACCAATAGTGGTTATGTAAGACTACAAATTATATTAAATATACTCTTAATAAACTCATCAAAGACATGCATTTAATCTTACAAATTTCATAACATGCAGCTCTTAAATGGTCTTCTTTTCCTCTGTGACTGAAAATAACTCTTATAAAGCACATGGGCAGTTCGATCTGTATGAGATCCAAACACAGAACATACAACCTCTTTGTTACAGTCTGACTACTCTCTACAGCAACCCCAGATGCATTTGGTATTTTTAAAAGTTAGAAACTGGTAAAGTTATTTATTCAGGTAACAGTGTATATTTTACAATCCTGAGTCCAGTGTAAAAAAAAAAGACAAGAGGGGCATCCATCCTTTTCCTCCACATGGTGATGATTCTACAAAGTATGGAAGACCTGAGTGATCAGATCATTAACTATAAACTCCATGCATTGCATACATTTTTTGTCAGCATACATGTGTGGTTAGTCTGCCTAGAGGCTGGAGAATAAGGCATGCTGTTTCTCCTGATATGCATGTGTTTGAGGAACTGGTGATACAATCATAGATTGAAAAAAGGCATGCACGAGATAACAGGATGAGTGCTGAGTGTAGACTAATTATCAAAGTGAAATCATGTTACTGTGACGTAAAATCCTCATACTTTAACCCACGTTCATAGATTTAGACAAATTTACTGTCCTTGCATATATAAAACCCTTTAAGACCACTTTGTATAAACCAAAACCTACACGGTGAGGCTCATGACAAGACTGCTTTTCTTAGCTTCTGAGAAGCCAACATTACAGAGGTGAACACGATGAGATAAGTGAGTCAACTCCTCACTATTATTCAAAATGTGCTGAAAAGAACAACCACTAGTTAGTCTACTATAACTCTCTGAGTCTTGTTGGGTGAGTGGCTTAAGAATGAATAAGTAGAAGTACAATATTTTGTGAAATTAACATATATAGAGTTAAGTAGCAATCTATCGAGTCTGATTCGATTTTTAAGAAAGGATGAATAGATAAATCATATCAGCCCAAGACATTGCTTATCTGAACTCCTGTGAGTTTCTGTGCTGTTAAAATGCATGCAAATGTTGAAAGAATTGATGCATGACACCTCGAAAACACTTTTTTTAAGCGTTAAACAGATGGCCGAATGGCAAGATGAAATACTATCAGGCAGAGGGAACAGAGTTAATAAAATCTGAATGACAGTCTTAGAGGAAGTCAAAGTTGTGAGGCCTCAATGTGCAGATTTCTGCTGCAGTGACATATGCCAAATGCTTGTCAACTGGGAGGTAGTGAAATCCAGAGAAGTTTACTACAGAAAAAATTCTCTGTTCTGATTTGCATTTGTATGAAATCAATAAGTGTCTTTATCCAAATTCAGCTTTGTGGAGAGAATCCATTTTCCAGTTTTACTGTCACTGGGAGATTCGAGGAAGGTGTCCTTGCAGAGATTTACTGCAGTCCTGTTTCTCTGTTGGTTAGCTCTTGGTGGGTCGGAGTTTGCGGCCGAAGTACTCTGGCGCTGCATCCAGCAGCCAGTCGGCGTCCACCAAACACAGGTCTCTCATGTAGCAGCGGGAAGTGTGCAGCAGCTCATTGAAGACCACGTATGCTGGCTTGGCCTGGAAAAGGACGGAGGAGGGGTGGATGGCCACAGGCTGGTGTGTGTCCAGAGCTAAGTAGCTGCCGTCGGGTTGTAGCTCCGCTGCGTTGACGAACATCCCGTGGGCAAGGCAGCGGCGAACGTTCGCCGTGTCGGCCCCACACGACCCCAGCTTCAAATTCAGCTGGTAAATAATGAAGAGCAGGACATGTTAGCTCAAAACTATTATCCTATTATACTACTATTCCACAACTAGATATCATGATTACCATCTCCTGCAACATAATGACACTGTTGGCTGTTTTCTTATTTACACCTTTGCAACAAAAAAAAACCTGACAGTACTCATTTTTCTACAGTACCTCTGTGTCTCTGTTGCTGTGCCTCGCAAACAAAAACAGTATTTTATTAATGTAATCCGCGCAAAAGATGTACAGACGTGGAAAATAAACATTCAGCAGAATACAGTATTTAACTCAGGTAAAGGCTGCACTGTAGCAACAATACTGCAAGACACTTTTAAAGAGAGAAACTTCAAACAGACAGTGACAAGATCGAAAAAGATTACAGAGAGTTATTTTTAGGATATTTATTATTTTCATAGCTACAAATGATGTGAAGTAATAACTTTGAATTTTCCTGCTTAAGCAAATAAATACTGCAGATGTACACAGCTGTAGCAATCTTTCATTAATGGTTACAAGGTAAAGGTGACAATGAATTGTGATATTGATTTCAGGTGATAATGCCCAGCCCCACACAGTATTCATGAGGATTTACACATGCGTACCTTAAGGCAGATATCTTTGAGTTGCGCCTGGACCTCTTTCACCAGACCCATGTTCCTGCTGTTGACAAAGTTCTCCCGACACCACTCCTTTAACAGTCGACACATACCATATTAGAAGGTTGCCAAGCAACATAATTTGATGTGTGGATTTTGCTTAGCCACATACTTTTCCTCCCCCTACTCATTCAGCTTTACTCACCTTGTTACCGCTGACTTTCTTGAACGCCCTGTAAATGTTGAGCAGTGTCATGTGGTCTCCTTCGCTGGAGCTGAACTTCTTACGAGCAGCCAGCACCTCTTCCCGCCGGGCCGGAGGGTTGTACAATACAGTGTCCACTGACAGCAGAGACACAATGCTCAAAATCTCATCCGAGCAGGAGTAGTCGGGGGACAACAGGATAGTCTGTGAGATGGAGCAAACAAGGCAGGGAAGTATTGCACCAAATTCTATCTGGGTTATGCGTACCCGTGTGTCAATTTGTCAGAACCACAACAGTATCAGTATCTTTTTGTGTAATGCTAATGCATTTCCAAACATCTTTTACCTTGGCATATCTAGGCTCCAGAGGGAAGCTTGCCATCTTCTTGCCCAGAGCAGTGAGGAAGACCTGCCCCTCCTTCCTCTCCACAGCTCCCAGCAGCTCTAGGTGCTCCACAGCAGAACGGACGGCCTCTGGGATAAAAACACAACAGGTTACTACGACCTACCGAGCCTCCGGGATGACCAGAGGTGTGTAGTGATAGATGATCAACTGCATCTTACCTGGAGAAGGCTTGGACATGAAATCAAAATTCATCACATCTGGAATCCCCAGAGCCATGAGCTGCAGCATCACACCGGCTAAGTTACACCTGCAGCACACACACACACACACAGGAAAAGGAACAGGAGAACAGGCCATTCAATCACACTGACCTAAATAAATCACCATGTGGGAGGGATTCCTGCAGATAAGCACATTTTTGTATTATCTCTATGAATAGAAAGGACTGCGGTACCTCTGGATCTCAGGCACCGTCATAGGGATGAGGTTGTCAAATTCCTGCTCAGTGTAGAGACGGTAGCAGGAGCCAGAGTCCTCCCTGCCGGCCCGGCCCGCTCGCTGCCACGCCTGGGCTTTAGAGACCCGCTGCACTGCCAGCACCTCCAGCCCGCTGTCTGAGAGTCACACAGCACATGTACAATAAGACAACACATATTGTTTGTTAT